TCTGCCTTCTTGGCTCTGGAACATCTGACATTCAGCTACCTGACTATAGTTAACAAATACATTCAGACTACTCTAATATGCCTTTAAAATATGTTCTGATTATGGTAAAAACAAAGCAGACATTCAGGCCTCTTTTTTAAAAAAAAAAAACAAACAAGACGAAACACCTAGTAAAACCTCTCATTTTTATTTCTACGTTTGCAATTGACTCAGTGCCGCTGACCTTTAAGCATATATGCAACATACAGAGACAGGATATCAAATAAATGATTTCTTGGTTTTAATGTATGGCATTTAAATACTCCTTTATTACACTATTTATAAAACTGTTTTATAGAACACTAAAAAGTATGGGACTGTTTACAAATGTTAATCCTACAATTAATAGTCAGAGGCACATGCTTTCCTGCAGCACAAAGCACTGATATTCTAAATCTGTCACTCTGAACTTTACAGGAGGGGACAGCCATCTGCCTGCACACAGCCATCTAAAACAAAGCAAGAATACAGGCTCTTCTGTCTCCCCTGGTGAGATGCAGGATCATTATGACAAAGCAAGCAATAAGGTTCAGCTAATATGAATTAAGATAGCATGTGTTGAGAAAAAAAATGAATATATTAAATCAAACTGATTCTATAAGTCAATGTTATTAGGTGATTAGGTGATTTGATAAAGTGGCGCCCAGGATGTAATGCCAAGTACATGGGAAATATGTGTATGGGTGAACTAGTACTGAGTCCTACAGCCCTGCAAACCCTTTCTCTGTGTTGCTGAATCTAATGCTACTTTAGTTAAAACTCATACTTGACTGGCACCTCCATTTTGCTGTGAAAAATCAAGGTTGTTAAAATAAAATAATTTAACATTCTCTTACAGGTTGAATGTATGCACTGGAAAGAAAAAGGAGCAAGGCTATGAAGAAAAATCAGTTTTGAAAATATCTTTATGGGTAGATGACTCTGCAATTATATATTTTTTTCAGAGAGTCATGTTCTTTCATCATCTATGTCTAGATTTTTCTGAAATTCAAATATTCTTAATCTACTTTCTACATTATAGTTTTACTGAAATCATTATGGAAAAATACTACCACTCAGATACAATTCTTTTCAGATCACCCAGTATGCTTCTCAGTTTAATTTTAAGTGGGTCATGAAAATTATTAGATTAACATTAACTTCTTTGTTTTTCTGATTTTTGAAATTTGATTTTTTAAAGAAAACTCTCTTTTCCCTGACATAAAGATACATTTTTATAAACATGAAAGAGTGAGAAAAATTAGAAATTCCATGTCATATTAAATTTGATTTTCTAACGAGTGTATCAATAGAGCACAGTGGTTAAATGTGAATTGTGGAGTCTGCTGAGATGGCTTCTAATCCCATCTCCACCACGTGCAAGCTGTGCGACCTAAAGGGAGTAATTTAACAGCTAGAGGCCTTCAATTTCTCATTTGTAAATGGGGGTCATTTAGAGAGCTGACTTCGGTTGGGTTACTCTGATGGTTAAGTGAAATAAGATGCATGAAGCACCCAGTACAGTGTCTGGTCAATCAGAACTCTTCACAATGAGAGTATGCAAGTTTCATTCCTAAAGCAGAAGTTCGGATGGTTTAGATGTTGAATGTACTCAATAAGGGACTCATTTAAGCAGTCATTTTCATAGCAATCTATCTGTAAATTCTAATCATTTTAATACTGACAACAGTTCTCAGAAACTATATATTATAGGATCATATGGTAGCTCTCCTGGGCATATATCCAGAGAAAACCATAATTTGAAAACACACATGCACCCCAATGTTCATTGCAGCACTATTTACAATAGTCAAGACATGGAAGCAACATAAATGTCCATCAACAGAGGAATGGTTAAAGAAGATGTGGTACATATATGTGATGGAATATTACTAAGCGTAAAAAAGAACAAAAGAATGCCATTTGCAGCAACATGGATGGACCTAGAGCTTATCATACTAAGTGAAGTAAGTCAGACAGAGAATGACAAATATGATATGTTATCACTTATATGTGGAATCTAAAAAAATATATGATACAAATGAACTTATTTACAAAACAGAAACAGACTCAAAGGCATAGAAAACAAACTTATGGTTACCAAAGGGGAGAGGTTGGGGGGGAGGGATAAATTAGGAATTTGAGAATAACATATACACACTACTATCTATAAAACAGATAAACAACAAGGACCGACTGTATAGCACAGGGAACTATATTTAATATTTTGTAATAACCTATATGGGAAAAGAATCTTAAAAATTCTCTCTCTCTCTCTCTCTCTCTCTATATATATAAACTGAATCACTTTGCTGTACACCTGAAACTAAGACATTGTAAATCAATTATACTTCAATAAATCAATATGCTTCAATAAATATACTCCATATATATATATGGAGAGAGAGAGAGAGAGACAGAGAGAGAGATTTAGAGACTGTGTATCCAAAGCAAGATTTTTAGCAGGTAGTTTACATACTTGGAAGCTGGCATACAATACTCTTTATTGAAATCTACACTTAGAGATGGTGCATCTGGCCAACCTGGAGAATGCTATATATAAAAAGCCTCGTCATGGTACCAGACTCCAGGTACCAGTGGGCCTTAGGCAATAATCCTCATCTGTGACCCGGGCTCTAAGATGCATGCTGGTATGACTTACATTTAGAGCATTAGATTGAGAACACGAACCTGTTCTTGGCTTTCTTCATGACTGAAAGAAGAAAGACACTTAACATGAATTTAGGTGGTAAATGTTTAAAAATAAATATGTATATAAGGAACAGTGATTTACAGCATAGCACAGGAAGTTATACACAATATCTTATAATAACCTATAATGGAGTATAATCTGCAAAAAAAACGGAATCACTGTGCTGTACACCTAAAACCGACACAATACTATAAATGAACCATACTTCAAGAAAAAAAAAAGAGTTGAACAAGGGAAAAGGTATAATTTTTACAATTAGAAATAATATTCTCAATTCTAAAAATGCACATCTCATCACAGTCTAAGTTTTATACTGAAATATTTCCCCAACAGGCAAGAACAACAATAAAATCATAGGTAATATTATGATATCTAATAATCTAAAGAGTCCTACTGCATGAATTTTGTTTAGTGTATCATACACCTCAGATATAACTGATTTAAAGTTTCTTTAAAAAAACAATTGTCTCATTGGTAATGATTATTTGTTCACACTTTCTGACTATACACTTAGAAATAAATATTCTGCGGTAGATTATCTGGTTTTAGCACCATGTTATCATACAATTTATTAGTTTTAAAAATACTGCAAAATCAACAGGAAAAACAGTTAAAATATAGAAGGTAGAAAGTGCTTAATAATGTTGGAAAAAACCGAAATATTCCTAAAAGCGAATATAGAGCAGAGTTCCCCACTTCTTTTCCTGAGGTCAGTGTCCTACATTCTGCCACCCAAACGCCAAAGAAACCTCAGTCAATCCTGGGGTTTAACTCCAGGTAAACCCGGGTTTCTCTTTTTCTGGAGGAAAGTATGGGTCACTGTGTGAGGTGTTAAAGCCACAGAGAGGGGTCTGAGGAGAGGACTGAAGCTCAGTGGGAAGACTTGTGGTTTGGCCCGTACAGGGGACAAGGGACACACTCCGTAACTGAGGACCCCTGTTTTCACAACATCAAATTCATCACTGTCAGTAAATTCAGATTGAAAAAAACCTTAAAATATCAGAGTATATTTTAAGAAAGGTAAGGAGGGTATTTTGCTAAGGCTTTACCTACCGTGAAATTAAAGAAAGAAAAAACCTCTCAGTTCTACATGTGGATCTAAAAGATCTTTACCATCCAAATTATGTCCCTGGAAGTCCACTCACGGTATGTAATACCAATGGTCTCAGATGGCAGCAAAACATGCATGTCTCATGGTATTTTGCAGACATATAAAATATTCACTCAAAAATCAAGCCATAGTGATGTGTCTTCAAAACCATTTTACAGTTACAAAATAGACTTTAAGGACACGTTTTTACAATGAACATGAAAATAGACCATGTTTCCATTTCTGGGCTTTTGATTGTGCTTCCTTGCTTCTTTGGCTAAACAGCAACGCATTCATAGCAGTCACACAAGATTGTTTGGGAAGGAGAGCTGAATAACACATATGTATACCTTTGAATTCTCTTTTGGACGTCCCACATTTTGGTATTTAAAAAAGGAGTTATTTAACACAATCTCGGAGAAGCAGTGAAATTCTCTGCCATCTGAATCATCACCCAGTAGTAATCCCTACCCCTCCCCCAATTTAGAACTCGTGGTCAATTTTACATAGAACAGAATGACACTCTCCAGGCTTCCTGCAGGGACAGGCCAGCTGCCTCAGGACCTAATGCTTTGGTCATCTGCCCGGGGCATTTCTGGCTGTCTTGCCCAGCACTGCTTTAATTAACTGAGACACTCTTAGGAGGCCATTAGATGTTGACAAAAGGGGAATTTTCTTTTGATTCATCAATAGCTTAATTAATGCTAAAACCATACTCTTAAGCATCAGAAAAATAATGTGCTCTTCTTAAACACCAAAATAACTTCAATACGGGGATCTGCTTTTGAAATATAAAGAAGCGATTTGATTAACAATTAAGCAATAAAAATGTTAATTAGAACTTAATTGTTTCTATGGTGACAAAGGATGGATGCACCATAACTTTAAAGAAACTCCCTAAATAACACTACATTTGAATTTTAGCTCCTATGTTGTGTGGCGATTGCAAATGTACTCTGAATGGCAGTTCTAATGAAAAAAAAAAAATACATATATATAGTTGGTTCTGCAATACTGAACTGAAAATGTTCTATCAGAATGCGTTTTTAAATAAAATTATACAGATGTTTCTTGTTTGTGCTAATAGCCATCAATGTGTTTATGATAGGTTTCTATCGTTTTCCACCCTCTGGAGAAGTTTTGAAAAGGAAATACAGGAGGATAGTGGAGATTGGTTACCTCGTTCACAGAACCGGCCGGTGAAATGGAGCGGACAGTCGCACTGGAAGGAGAAGACGCCCCCCGGGAGGAGGACGGTGCGGCAGGTGCCCCCGTGGTGACACACGCGCCCCTGGCACGTGGCCGGCGCCACGCGGGGGACGAGTGAGGCCCCCGGGGAACCGGCCCCTTCCGCGGCCCCAGAAGGAGGGACAGACGCGGACGTTGCTGACGGGGTAGAATCCTGGGATCTAGATTTATAAACAGATCAGAAAAAAGTAGTATAAGTAAAAGAGCCAGGACTTAAATAGAAATAACAGAAACTTTGGTTTAAAATAAGAGGGAGATAAAACCAATAGTCATCCAAGGTTCAGCTGAGGGCACATAGGATTGTCACGTTTGTTCTACAATTGTAGGAATTATAAATGTTGCAAATGGGACCGTGGGGGAATCGTGGAGTCAAGATACTTGTTTCTTCTGAGAAGCCTCATTAATTTCCTCAAAGTCCTGAGAAACCTGAATGCATCGGCCTGTACAAGCCTGAGTCAGTTCTCTAACGTAAAATAATTCAAATTTGGGCTAAACATAGTTCTACTTCAGCTCTTCTAAACCATGTGAGCCTAAGATGAAGAATTTAGGCCATGTGACATTTTAGTGGTAAAACTGCTTGAACTTGAACTATTTCTAGGTTGATTGCTAGCAATGTGTATTTTTCAAAGTCACTTTCATTCATTTTAGGAGTTAACCAAAAGATATGCTACAAATGACTCTCATTTTTTTCACCGATTTTACTGCCAGTTTAATTTTTTTCTTCCCTAAAAACTAATGAACAGAAACCAATTTCCTTTGAATTACTGTAAATTGAAATTCCTTACTTCTACATTCAAAGCCTCTTGATAATCGAATTCCTCTCTGCTTTCCAGCCTGTTTTATCATGATTCCTAATAAGTACCTTACGTTCTCTCAAACCAAATGAGATTACTATTCCTTAAAGACCTTTCCTAATTTTTGAAGTTTGTTCAAACCACTTTCTATGCATTGTTTTTCCTCTATTCCTGTGTATATTTCATCTAACGTGCCAAGTCAAGATCTCCATCATTTCCTCAACACAGCCTTGTTGGTTGCTCTTAGCTCACCAAGGTGAAATTGATGTTTCTCGCCTTTCTAAAATTCGATGACGTCATTGTACCACTGCTAGAATATTTCCCACCTGCTTGTAGTATTATTATTTTATGTACATACTTCTACTAGGTTGTATGTACACCGGTCACTATTTTTTCCATTTTTCTTCCACACACAGATTCCTCATTTTGTCAGAATTCCCTATTCTTAGTAGAGACTTTATTATTTGTTGAATTCATGTCTTCACTGTACTCCTGTTTTGTGTTGTTTGAGAACCAGTGCTTTTGAATTTTTTTTAACTTTTTATTTTATATTATAGTTGATTAACGATGTGTTACCTTCAGTTGTACAACAAAGTGATTCAGTTATCCATATACATATATCTATTATTTTTCAAATTGAAATTCTCACTTCACAAAATCATTGAGAGTTATCTTTTAAATGTAAAAAATCTTGCTGCAATAAAAATAATCAACAATTTAACTATCTGAGTAAATCTTTATTTTGTACGCTGTTATAAAGATAAAATCTTGGTAAAAGAAGTCAGTTCAAAAATATTGTCTGAGTGACAATTAGAGACAGTTATTTTTGTGTCTACTTTGTATTCATATGTCAACTTACTGGGATAAAAAGCTGAGGAAAGTGAAATAGATGATTCATAAAAACATTTTACGAAAATGATGTTAATGTGCAGGTCAGTTTCTTTTGTTTTACAGTCCTTTTACAACCTGAAATTCTTCTTTATGTTGTTTATCATAGCTTGTAACTGTGAAGAAAAGAAAACGTTGCCCGTGTTCCAGTTCTCCAAGGATCAAGCCATTCGCCACTGCAGTTGCCCACTGACACTGCATCCTTCATGGAATTCAGGATGGAGAAAACAGGAAGCATTCTGTGCTTTGCATACTGGCCCTAGGTAGTTAGTATGCACATCTAAGGAAAGATTTCAGTGAGCCCTGATTCTTGCATCTTCCCATACACAGAAAAGCACTAAAATCATTAATTTGAGGTGTCTGTTCTTTGTAAGTAGCAGTGATCTTCTGATGTTTGACTACATATTTTTTTCCCAGTGAAAAATATATATATGTCTTGGCTACCCCCTTACCTCTTTGAACAGTTTCTCAGAGCTTGCTGAGAGTCTGCCTCCCAGGCTGTAGTCCTCAGTAAGACACTGAAAGCTCAACTCACAGCTCTTATGTTGTGCATTTTTTTAAGGTAGCATAACCATATTTTAATTTTTATAGTTGTTAAGCCTGACTCTCTTCTTTCTGCTCTGGATTGCAATCTGCTATTTTCTTCATCATATCCCTAACAACAATGCTTGTTCCCAAGTAAGCTCTCCGATAAATATTTTATAAATGAATTTGAATCATTTTTGTAAATATACAATGTATCACTCCACTCACCAGAAAAATAGCAAGTAAAAATAATTTGGTTATCTTTGGGTCCATTCATAACTCCATAACATAGCTTTTTAGTTTTATAGATAATATAAAATCTAACAGCTTTGATGTAACTTTACAATCAACTTTCTCTGATTTCATTCTATTGGATTAGTGTAGTTCTCCCCATTTGTACTCACAATATGTTTGTCCCTATAAGGTAACTTCCGTCAAGTTAAATGGCAATGCTAATTTGAATTACATGGGATTTATTACTCAGCATTTCTTATTTTAATTTAATTTTTAGTTTTAGTGTTTCTGAATGATTTCACCATTTTCTCTAACTCTTGCTGTGGACTTCATGAACTGCAGTCAATCACATTTTTCTCAGGAATAAATTAGACTGAATTAAATGTCGCTAGTTCTTTCTCCTACTGTAGCTGCTCAGGGAGCACATGTCTCACCTGAAAAAATCAATGTGTTGCACATTTAAGTGGCTAACTGATTACACAGAAGTAATTACTATCAATTGATCCATCAATTAAAATGTCAGAAGCATAAATCAACATTTGAAAACTGCATTAACCAGATACATTTTATCTTATTAGCATCAAATTTTATATGTGATATATTATTCTTAATAGTCCTTGACTTTCAGTATTTTTTCACTAGTTATAAATTATGCCATGAATTTACCTATTTTAGAATTTAGAATTAAAATAAATAAAATTTATTCAATTTATTATATATTTTACAAGAAACAAAATATTTGTTCTGGTTGTTAAATTTTAACTTATTTTACATAAAAGATTAAAAATATAAAGTACATGTGGATGTTTATTAAGCACAACCTGATGACAGTCATATTAATATAATTAGCAATGTGAAAAAGGAGCACTAAAATTATAGTTCTTTTTAATTCTAAAAATCATGAATGTATGAGAGCTCAGAACTAAATCAAGGCTCAGGGTTTTCAAAATTGTTTTTAAAATAAACAGTACTGTAAAGATTGAACTTCTTTGTCTTTCTTAACTAAACACATGATTTACTATAAGTCCAAAATAATAAGCCTGAAGAATCTGCTTGATTGCCTCTTGGATAACTTCAGACAAAAGTACAGTGATGGACCAGTCACTGTTATAACAAGTAGTAAGCGTTCAAGAGTCTTTTTCTGTATGAATTAATGACTAAATAAGATATGCTAATTTTATTCATAATCAAGCCTGATCCTTAGAGGAAGACACCTTGATGTGACAGTGATTTCTAATCTCAGGGGTAGGGGTGGGGGGAGCTCTCAGTGGAGGAGAGGACGCTCCACTCTTTGCCCCTCTCCTCCAGGGGCTCTACAGAATCCCCTGAGGAGGGCAGCAGCTTGAGGGGTTTGCTTCTTGTCAACAGACACTTATCTGGCCTCAGTTTCTTAGAAGGGGGAATGGGCTTGCTCACAAGTGTAAATCCTGGAAGACCCGCTCATAAGTAGAGAAGGAGAATCTTTAAAATCATGATGAAGTATTCAAAGAAAGAAAGAAACTGAGCTAGAGAAATCTTGACCTTGTGGCTATTAATAGTGAAGGGGAAGAAAAGTTTTCAAATCATTACAGATTTTTAAAAGCAGTAAAATAAATGTGTTATAACCTAGGCAACAAAGAACCTGATTTACAAATAATATGTATAGATAATTTTTTTTTTACAGAAGTGAGAATTATAGTATAAACACTCATATTCCAGTCTGCTTTGTCTTTTCACTACTAGAATATTCTGCTCTTTATTTTTTCACCTAAAAATTGTGCTTAGCAGGCTGCACTGTCAGTGAAGACAGTTCTTGATTTTCCTTTTAAAATCTGCATAGTGTTGTATTGTTTGGAGATACACCACTGATTCTATCAGTTTGGAGTTAATATATTTAAACTATTTCAGGTTTTTCCCCCTTTTATCCAGATCATAAATTAATGTTAATAGCTATATCAAGATATAATTTACAAACTAGAATGAACCCATTTAAAATGCAAGTTTTAGTGGATCCAGAGTTGTGCAACTATCACCACAGTATAATTTTATATTTTGTCATTCCCCAAAGAAATCCCATATCCATCAGCGCCACCTTTAGCCTACTTTCTGTCTCTATAGATTTGTCAATTTTGGACATCATATAAATGGAATCACATAACATGTGGTCTTTTGTGCTGGGCTTTATCACTTACCATAATGTTTTTAAGGTTCATCCATGTTTTTGCATGTAAAAGAACTTTATTCCCTTTTATTATTGACATTTTATTTATCCATTCATTAATTGATGGTCATTTTGGGCTGTTTTTACTTTTGCCTACTATGAACAATGTTACTATGAACATTCATGTCCAAGTTATTGTCTGCATTTTCTTGGGTATATATACCTAGGAGTAGAATTGCTTGATCGTATATCCCATGTTTAACATTTAGAGCAACAGCTGAACTATTTTCCAAAGAAACTGCACCACTTTCCATTCCTACCAGCAAAATATGAGAATTCTAATTTCACCACATGCTCATTAGATCATATTTTCTTAGAAGAATTATGTGCATTTAATTTTGTATGTATATAGCACAGACATATATTTATTTACATTAACACTTAGTAAACTGTAACGATTTATTCCAAAGTGTTGCTTCATTTCCCTCAACTATTCTCTTTGTAGTCTTTTTAAAGCCCTTTTTATTTTTTTTTAAGTTACTATTTATTTATTTATTTATGGCCACACTGCACGGCTTGC